TCTCTGCCTGGGGCTCGGGCAACCGCCGCCGTGTGCGGGAGGTGCCCGGCGGTGCCCGCACCTTGCTGTGGAAGTACGGCTGGGCGTCGTGAGGGTGTTCCTCCAGCGTTAGAGGGGCCGGGGACCCGCTTCCGACCCCTCGGAGACGCCACCACACACACCACTCCCCCCGCCCAACCCCCGTCGTACCCGCCCCCCTGCGTGTGCTCAGCGGTCTGGGCCTAGGCGGCGGACGCTGTACGTTTTGTAGTTCGGGTAACCGGCAATAACGGCAGCATCCACGCTGCGAAAATTGTTTTGAAAATGGTCCTAGCAGTGGGTCTCTTCTGTGTGTGTATGCAACTTAAAAACGCGCTAAGTTTTATTCTTGTTTCTCTTCTTTTGGTATTGGGGAGCATTGTGCAACAGCAGCTTAATGAGTTCTTCACACTTCCTGTTTCTAAAGGTAGAAGATGGCTCAACACTTGAAAAAGTCCTTCAAAGACAGTCTGGATGATATAAAAGAACGAATGAAAGAGAAAAGAAATCAGAAATTGACAAAGTTGGGTAAAACTAGCCAGATCTCCACTGTAAAGTGCAAAATAACAAGTAAGATGCTTAAATACCTTAATAGTGTTCATATTTTATTTTTTCTTAAACCAAGTTGAAATGCTCACTGTCCTGTTGCAGCCAGCAGATCCATGCAAATGAAGAGCATACAAGCAAACAACAAAGCTCTGGCTCGGGCTCTGCAAGAAGAAAAGCTCAAACTGATGGATGCTGAGGCTACCATTCTTCAATTAAGGAAAGAATATCATGATCTGAAAGTTCAGATGTTTGACTTGCAAAGAAATCTTAGGTTGAAGCAAGCACAAGGACTTGTTGAGGTATTTTTAATAATTTTATGATTTAGTGAAGCTGAACATCAGTATCTGCACCAATCCACTGATATCTTTATCATCTTAAATGTTTCATGAAAAAGTAACTCGATATATAGAACAAGTATTTTCATATTCTCATCTGATCTGGTCATTAACTAAATATTTATTTTTCTGACTACTCTTTCTTCTTTAATTAAAATCAGTGTTCTGTGATTTTTTTTTTTTTTTTTTTTTTTTTTTTTTTTTTTTTTTGGTCACAGTTGAATGTACCTGACACAGGTATCTTTGGGTTTTGGTCATCTTGTAATATCAACAAGAAGCTATTACATTGGTAGTTGATACTGGAGTATGACAGTGGTGTTTTCCTTCTTTTGTCTATTAGAATCGACTATCACCCTTGAATAAGATAATTTCAAAAGTTTCTCAGAATTTACTGAACTCAGTTGATCTCATTTGCCCAGCAGAGAATTTGTGTTCCATAGGCACGGTAAGTGCCTTTTTCTTTTGAGGGGCAGGATTTCTGTTGATTCTTTCCTTTATTCCTTCCAGCGTAGATGCTCGCAGTTTTTAAGATTTGAGCCTTAGTTTGGAGGTCCGACTAGTCCCACAGTTCCCAGTATGGTATGGGGCCCACACCGTGGGGGTGCATAGTAGGTTGTTAGTGGGGCTGAGGATCTGCAATGAAGTGATAGGGGAACCCTGATTTTCTGTGGCTTTGTGTCTTGTTCCCTGTACCATCCTTACAGTTCCTCCACTGTCCACTATGTATGATTGGGCTGGTGATGAATGTGCTGCCTTGTAGGAGCCAAGTATGTGAGATCCCACAGGACTTAGTGTTAGCCAACCAGAAAGAAAAAGATTCAAGGGCTTCTTTAGCCCTTCTGCGGGGCCAAAGGCAACTTGGCTGTTGTCTAAAACTTGTATACGATGAAAACTTGTTTCTGCTATTTCATCACAGTAAGATTTATTTTGTTGACAGAATCAGAGAGTGCTTGCTTCAGTTCTTGGAAATTGTTCCAGTGTCACAGGACAAATGTGTTCAGTGTAAGTATAATTTATTGATACCTATTTATATTTGAGAATTTTGATACAGTCAGCTTACCTTTCTGACTGGAAAAAGGGAAGAAATTCAATGTAATGAAGTAGTTAATTGTCGTAAAATATATTGCTCTTCAGTAAATGTTACCTTTGGTATTTTCTCTAGAAAAACACTTCTACAGGGTGCTGATGGAGATGATCGAGTACTTCCAAGTGGGATGGAGGCTGATAATGATAGAAATGAACGGGGTCGTTCTGTGTCAGAGATCTGTGAGGAATCTGACAGTGCCATTTCCTTAATCGGAATAGTTCCAGGCAAAGGTAAATAAATCAGAGTATCAGACATTGCTCTGTTCTGAATCAGGAAGAAAAACGTGTAAGTTTAAAATGTAATTACTGCTTTTGAAGTAACTTTCAAGTAATTCTCTACTTAATATCAGAAGGGTTAGATATTAATGTTGGCAACTAGTAAACATCTTGAATGAAGATGCCTAGCAAAATGGGGGAGGAATTTGAAAATATTTTGTCTTCTGTATACCTGCAATCTTGTTTCATTATCTACCAAACAGTTCAACAGAATAAGGTCATCTTTAGTCATGCATTATCACTTATGAAATCAACAACTGTTAACAAAGCAAAATACTTGGAAAAATAAATGACCTGTAGATAACCTTTCCAAACAGAACAGTTTAGAGGAAAATACTAATTCGGTATACTTAATTGCTTTCTGTCTGGAAGATGTATTAAACAGACCTTATCTTGATTGCCAAATACTGGTTTATACAAATCTGTGGAGAAAATTCTAAGAATAGTCTTAATTTTTGACATGCTCAGAATTTGCACAAGACCTTAACAGGTTGCTGCTATTTGGTTTTAATACAACTTTTTCCTCTTGAATTACAAGGACGAACATCTGATTTTCATCTGGACAACATAGGGTCGGAGCTGGAAAATGTTCCTTCAAGCGAGGAGGCTGGATTTGATAATAAGTTACCGAAAAGGGTGCCCATCAGGCATTGCTACTCAAAGATGAGAAACCGCAATGAACTTTGCACTGGTGTCCTGGACAGTTCAGGAGCACCTGATTCAACAAAAAAGTTTTCTGAACTGGATGAAACTGGACTTGAGGAAAGTCTAGAGGAGCATGTTGTGGAAAACATAAATTCGGATATTTCTCAGTTGAATGAAAATAAGCTAGGCTCAGAGCTGGTGTTGAGGCAGATAAATTCTGAAACTTCGCAGTTAAACTTCGACGGTAATTCTGATCTTAAACAGTGTGAGTTTAGAAGCAGAGAAGACTCTCCCATAAGGAAAGAGAAGCGTCAGAAGAGAAAACTGGACTGGCCTAAAAATACTTCCAGACGAAAAGAAAAAAAACGGCAGAGTAAAAAAGCTTCTAAAGAAAATTTGGATTTCTTGAGTGGCTCCAGTGATGCTTATGACTTTAATTTTGAGGAGCGTGTCCATCTCACGCCTTTTCGACAAAATAAGGTGAATGACAGAGATGCTGGTGTGGCTGACAGAGGCAACTTATCTGAAACTAATACTACTGAGTCAAGTAGTATTGAAGAAGATCCAGATGATAGCCTCTATGAGCCTTACAATAGGAAATCAAAAAAAGGGAAAAGTTCCGTGGACAAAGATACATCGCCAGTCCATGTAAGGCCAAGGTCTAAGAGATGTTTGGCACAGCGCGAGCAGAAAATCCATAATGAAAAAGAAGCTGAAAGTAATAAATCAAGTGACAAGTCTATCAGTAAGTGTAGAAAGTGTTCTGTAATTGCTTTTGTTTCCTGAGAGATAACATTAAGGGATTTAGGCTTTTTTAATTTTAGCTTTTTTAATAAATACAAACAATAATGTTAAAAAATCATTAGATTCATTCTTCTGGCTGCTGCTTTTTTTTCCTTAGCGAAAACTTAACTTAAATGTCTCATTTAAGGAACTGGTCAACAGTTACGTAATACTGTATTTTAAATGTGTTTAATGATGTATTAACACCAAGGAAAGAGGAGAACAAGATTATAAATTGGAAAGAGGAGAACAAGATTATAAATTGAGAGACGGGCAATAACAAATTACACTTTGCCTGGTACTGCTTTAGTGTTAATTTATTATTCAGGATTTTTATTTGGAAAATTTGTTGATCCTCTTATGTGTTCTTAAGTGGAAAGAATAACATAATAGTTACAGGTGAGAGTTACTTCACATCTGTATGTTCACATATATTCTCTTTCAAGCTAGCTTGCCTGAATTGTCTGAAGTCTGCTTAATTTCTTCCCAGGGCAGCCTTCTGAGCCATCTCGTGGTCATCTTTGTGATGTTACCAACACCACTTCAATGCTCCTCAGCACTGGGAATGCAACTATTGTCCCAGAAGGTGAAGGACGACAATTTCCAAAACGCAAACGAAGCTGTACTGTTACTGTGAACTATAAAGAACCAAGTATTGCAGGGTAGGTGTCTTACTTTCCAGTTTGATATGAAGTTCGTGGTGTTCCATCAAACAGAGGATGTCAGGGGATTATTTAAATATTGGAAATAAGCTCTTAAAGCATTCCAAGAGAGAGGTCTGATGTTGGTAATATGAAATAGTTCATGTGAAATTGAGCAAACTAGCTGAAAGTTAGTGTTTTAAATGATGTGAGGGACAAAACTCATTTTTGCTTTTTGGGGTTTTTTTAACAGGAAACTCAGGAGAGGAGATCCATTTACAGATACAAATTTTCTGGACTCTCCAATTTTCAAGAAGAAAAAGAATGCTAAATGCCCATCTCTTAAGAAAGCATCTCTGTCAAAATACAATGAGAAATTTGTTGGTTGTTATTGAGATTAGAAAAACCATGCTCACTTTATGAAGAAAGGAAATATTTCATCTAGGAAATTATTGTATAACATCTTACACAAATATGCAAATGCCTCTGTGTCTAACATCAAGGGATTTTCCTTTTCAGTGATTTGTTTTTAATGATACAGAATACAAAAGACTTATAACTAAGGTGATTCCATTCAACTTCTTTTGAGAGGAGGCATCCATACACCATGGATCTGTGAGTTATCAGAAATATCTGATGGAAAGATGGTGAATGTGATTTTACAATTTATACCCTGCTTGATCTCTCGGTGGTTGGAAAAAGTGAACTTTAAGCACTTAAACCACAAAACCAACTGATCTTTTAATAGCAATTTTTGTGCAGCTCTTGTTTATGTAATGGTTGGTTGTAGTTTTGTATTTATAAATTTCACATTTTTAAAATAAATGTCAGTGTTTCAGTTAAGTTCTCTTTGTGTGGTTTCCATATTTGCTTCAAGGGAAGCAAGGTCAGAGTAATCATACTGCAAGCCAGTGTACTCCTTACACATTTAAGTGGTGCAATTTTATTATGTATCTGGAGCTCTCAAAAGTAGCAATTTAGGGTTGGTTGGTACTGCTATAAATACAAGTTATAATCAACTTCAAACTTGCTTTGTCCCTATCTGGTTAGTTGTGAAGGTTGGTGAAGAGGGGCTCTGAATTGTAAACTAAACTGCTGTAATGGCACTTCATCATAATTTTGGCCCTGCTTTGCCAAGTGCCCTTGCCACATCTAAACTGATACCATTTGGTACCATAGTAGGAAGTATGCTAGAAGAACAGTTACAAACTGGCCAGTAAGATTTCAGAGTTGTAGAGGGCTCAAACTAGCTTTTCTTTGCTGAAGAAACATTTAAGACATTAATGGATACATGAATACCAAAAGGGATGCTACCTTCAAAATAAATAATAAGAAAATCCTTAATTTGCCTTGCAAATCTCAAATGTCTCACTGAAAATCTCAATGACAACAACCACCTGTCCCACTTCACTAGGTATAAGTGTGATGTATTTTCTGTATATATTTTATGATATATTTTCTGTAATAAAAAGTATAGTGTTAATTACTGTTTCACTGGTAACTTCTTACATGACTGACTCAACTAATAATACAAGCTGCAGCTACTTCATGTTTGAAAACATTAGTTCACAATGCATCCTTTGGATGTTGGAACTGAACATTGGTATCCTAAAGCTTCTAGATCTGGGGTTTACCATCTTCATTCTGAAACTCTAAGAACTTAAGCAGTATGATTTAACTTCAGGTGCTCTTTTTTTTCAGCAAACAAACCTGTAACAGCTGGGGACAGAAAAAATCCACTGTGATAGCAGAGCAGCCCAAGGCAGGTGTGGGTCTGGGGTACTTTTGGATTGTGTGCTGGGTTTGAATGGTGGAGTTTTTGGTAGCAGGGGAGGGGGCTACAGTGGTGCTCCCCTGTAAGAAGCTCCTTGAAAGCTCCCCTGGCTCCCAGTTGGACCTGCCTTTGCATGAAGGTTGGGCCATTTAGTGATGCGATAACATATTTAAGAAGGGAAACCTGAGAGGGAGTGAAGGACTTTGAGCATGAGTTATGAGGAAGACACCTATGTGTACACCAAGGTTGGTGGGAGGAAGTGGGGGGGAGATGTGCTGGAGTTGAGACTGGGGACCCTGTATCCTGTGGTGAGATGGCAGGGCTGACCCCAGCTGCTGCCCGTGGAGGTCACCAGAGGAGCAGAGATTTGCCTGTGGAGGACCCCCAGGACTCTGTGGGAAGGAGCCTCCACTGTTGTAGTTTGATCCTGAGAGGACTGCAACGTGGGGGTGACCCGTGCCAGAGCATCTCAAGAACGCATTCTGTGGGGAGGACTCAGCAGAGAGTTTGTCTCTTGCGAGAGGGACATCATGTGGAGCAGGGGAAAGAATGCAGAAGAGTGCTTCCCCCCCACTTCCCTTGGAAGAAGAAGGGGCAGGACCGACTGCATCCACCAACCCCTGCTCCTGTGCTGCAGTGGAGGAGGAGGTAGAGATATCGGGAAGAAAGCTGGCCCTCAGAAGAAGATAGAGGCAGGGAGAGGTGTTTTTAAGATATAATAATGCCTCTCACTGTCCCATTCTGTCTGTTTAGTGTTGTTAGTGTTTGAATTAAAGTGATGTTCTTCCCCTAAGGAGTCTGCCTTTTGCTTGTTACCATTAATGGGTGAGCAACCCCTCCATGTCCTTATCGCAATTCCTGAGCCTTTTCTTTCCTTTTTCTCCTTCCCAGCATTGGGGGGAAAGGGGTGAGTGGTGCTCAGTTGCCCTCTGGGCTTAAACCAGAACAGTAAGCTTGAAGAATTGCTTCAGTTCCATCACAACTGCAGGAGTCTGAGTCTAATCTGAACTGATATTCCTAGAAGTGTCCAGGAAAACAGGTAAGCCTCTTTTGACCACTATTTGCTACCCTCTAAACAGTACACTTTTACATGATGTGGCACAGGACTAAATCCTAGTAGATGGGGGGAGGAAATAAAATCTCTTTATAGTCTTTAATTGTTAGGTAGTAGACAGGTGCAGGGTTTGTTTATGGTAGGCAAAACAAGTGTACCATCTGAGTAACATCAGTGACAGTAGGTAAGCACAAGCTCAACGTGGACTCTGGTTTGCTGTTACGTACATTGTGTCATGTGAATGAAGGACTCTAGCAGACAAAAATGAGAAAAGAGCATGAGCATGCTCTGAGGTGAAAAATCAAAACTTGAACAGCTCAGTCAAAGAATTGTTTGAGATGCTGAGGGAATAGGAGTAACAGCACTGTAGCACAGTATGGAACTGGGAATGCTACTTGGAATGGTCACGGCTTTCCACACTGAATTTTTAGCTCAGTTTAGCACACCGTGCCCCTGGTGAACTCAGGGGCTTTTTTGTCTATTTCCTAGTGTGGCTGGAAGACGCACTGACTGCAGTCTTGTAGATTCACTGTTCTCGGTTGTGAAATTGCCTTCATGTGTATATTTGTAGTGCAAGATCTAATTAATGAAAAAAGAGACCAAAATAAGTAGGGTTTTGTACATATATAATTTAAAACTATTCTGTACCAGTACAATATATTAATTTTACAAATGTAAAGTTCATCAGCTGTTAAAGCATTTGCAAAACCACATATCCTACCATAACTTTATTGCACAGTATCTATGAAAATATTAATTCTTAAATTAGAAAACAAATGTGTCAATATAGAAGAGACAATCTGATTGAAAGACAATAAGAAAATCTACTCTGTAAATAACAAAATTTCACAGGATACCAAGCTTAACAGGTGCATCTGTAGGCCCAATCTACAAAACAGGATTATAGCATCCAGTACTGGCTATTAAAAAAAAAACCAAACAAAACAAACCAAACTCACTGTACCTTTGTTATAGATCCAAATGTAGATCAGACTAATCTCATACAAAACACTATGGCAAGTCTAGTGTTAACATTTTGAATACCTTGTGTATCACATTTACTACTTCCAGGTAGTTCCTGACATCTACTTGCTGAATTGACTTGTGAATTAACATTGCACAGGCATTTTGCAGGAATATATTCTTTAACACAGCACAGGATTGGGTTGTTTTTCAGTCTTATAACTATTGAATTTTACCAGTGTAACATCTGTAAATATAAAACATCAAGAATGAAAGTTAAATTCATTTTTCACAAAAGCAATTATAATTTACAGTTACAAACTCTAATTAGAAAATGTCAAGTGACAACTTTTTGGCCTGTACTGATCTCCATTAGGAAGTTAGGTGTACCTCTTAAATGTAGTGTAAGCAGCAAAATATATATGTGTTCAATTTGAAGATATACTAAAATGAATTGTAAAATGTTAATATGTTCCTGGGTCTAAATAATCACAGTTAATAAGCATTTACAATAAAGCTTAGTAAAAAATCCAGTTTACTACGGAGCCAAGTACATAACCTAGAAGCTGTCATATGTTGACTTCTTTTGTGTACAATAGGCTTATCTCTGCTGAATAATCTAAAGAATTTATCAGTGAAGAGTAGTAAATAGGGCGGATCATGAAGTGCATCAAAATCTTAACTCTATTAGGCCAATTGAAATTGTCTAGTATATGCAAATCAGATTCTCTGAAGTTATTTTGGGTACTTATGTCCTGCATAAGCCAAGTCACTATGACATTACACATCTAGCCAGATTTTTTTTTTTTTAATAGTGGTTATGAGATTACAATTTGCAGGTAAAATATTTATCAAAACCCAAAACGAATAGAAAAACTTGCATCTATCAAAGATTACAGGCAGTCTTTATTTATAACTAACTGGCTGCTCTTCTCTCACAGCTTCTCAACCAGCTGAGTGTTTCTTTTAAAAAATAGCATCTTATAAAAAGATTCTACAAAGAAACAAGTATTTCAGAACCCCCCCAACTGTTGTTTTCCCTTTCTATTTTCTTTTTTACTGGAAAAAAATAATAAAACTTTATCAAATAGATACTGCATTAGGTAAGCTATAACATCTGTTGTCTGGAAATTTTCTTCATATTCCCAAACATGTGCAATTTCCCACATGTTTTGTGGGGTTTCTGAGGCTGTAGCTGATAAACTTATGAACACAAAATGGGCACACAAAAGAAATTTTCTGTAATTAAATACATTATAAAGCATTTTAATAAAATAATTTTTGTAACTTCAGTATAATACACGTTTGCAAAACTAAAAGGGTTTTTAAAAGTGCGAAGTATTAAACACAAGTTTCTTGAAACCTTAAAGTCCCACAACTCAGATATATAACGGCTTCCCCTGCCCATAAAGTAGGCACACTATTTGGTTGTAAAAAAGACAGTGTCACTTGTCAATTAATCCAGCTTCTTTAATTTTTGTGTAGAAGAATTTCTCCAGTATATTGGCACATTTGTAGTATTCACTCTCGGGGGGGTTGTACTCTCTGCAATTTGTAAAGACTCGCTGCAAGTCTGCCATGAATAATTTCTTAGACACGTAGTACCTATTCTTGAGTCGTTCACTCATTGTTTTGAGATCTGTACAGAAGAAAAATAGATTAACAGTGTTTGATTCAAATACTTTTCATAGGCAATATCTCTTTAGATTGATTTGCCATTTAACATGAATTGGCAAAGCTAGGATTTGGAATTTCTATTTGCCTTCATTTA